CTGAGCGGACGGTTGTCACGACGGCGTAGTCCTTTTCGAGGAGCTGCTCCAGAGTATGAGCTGAAGTTGGTTAGATACTATCCTTCAGTGTTCTCCAAAAAGCATAACAAACCGGCAATGAAGCCTGAGCCACCTGTGATATCATTAGTGATTGACTCAACATGAATGTACCATGACTAACATACCAGTGAGGAGAACCTTTGTCATGATGATAAGTATACGAATTGGGGTTATGCAGTTGTACAATTGAGTCTCTATACTTGTTGAGTAAGTATCAACAGTCAAAGAAAGATCTAAAGACACAATATCTCGTCGTTTGACGTCAATGGCCTCTTATACCTCGGATACACGTTGGGGGTCTTTGATAAACTGGACCCGCATTCGTCATTCAAAGTTGGGGGATTCGACGATTCCCTTTCCCCTCCCCCACGTTCTCTTCCTCTTTTGTAACTATATGCAACTCTATTCATCTTCCTCCAAGTGGCATTAATAAGCATAAGATCGTATTTGACGATCCTGGCACATCAGATCATATATACACAAGTCACAATGCGGAACTGAAAGTAATGTCACATATCTCATAACCGTCCATAAATACACATACAAAATAAATTATTACAATCGAGACAGATAACCGAGAGGGTAAATCCATATACACGCTTGATGTAGGCCTGTGCCAAAGATTTGCTGCATCGTCTCCCCTATTCCTAGTTGATAATGATGGCTCATCCTGGCTCCTGACTTCCTTCACATTGCCACTTTGCTCAAACGGATAAAAGTCTATATCAACATAGACATCGATCGCTGAGCGTATGCACAGGCCAGTTGCCCTCGCTAGGAAGCCCCATTCTCGTTCATGTCTCGCAAGGGCATGCCGTCCAATTCCATACGCAATGCTCGCTGTAGAAATATGCGCTTGAGTTGGATCATCACCCGCTTTTTCCCACGCGTCACACAATGCATGTGGCGTGAACTACCCATTGCCTCCTGTTCGCCTTCTCTTTCCTCAATCTTGGCGTGTCATCCACTACCAAACCTCATAATTCACCCTTCAGTGTTTGATGTGTCTGCTGCAGCTGGTGGCGCAGGTGTCTCCGGAGGCTGAGGATGAGGCACGCCACCGAGACCAGGAGGTGTCGGGGCTTGCTGAGGGATAGGTAATGTCATAGGTCCCTTGGGAGCGATGATTCGCCCAGGGAGACTCTCACCGCGAATCACCTTCTCCACTTCGGCCTTGTCCAAGGTCTCGTACTTAACAAGAGCCTTGGCTAACAAGTCGAGTTCGTTTCGCTTGTCTGTCAACAGTTTTCGTACATCCTCATACGACTTTCGTATTGTCCTCTGAACCTCGCCTTCAATTGCTGCCTTTGTCTCGGAACTGAGGTTCTCGTATCTTCGGCCATATTCAACAGGTCCCAGAACACTAGACATGCCGAAGAGCGTCACCATCATGAAGCTCAGGTCGGTGGCCCTCTCAAGATCCTAAATGACATTAGTATGTGATTATGATAGCTTCTCCTTCAAAACTTACCGATGAAACACCAGATGTCACCCTGTCGTCACCGTATCGCAACTCTTCAGCCATCTTTCCTCCAAGTGCGACGCGGATATTTGACATATACTCAGCAGCTGTGTAAGAATACTTGTCCATCTGGGGAAGCTGGGCGGTGTGGCCCAGCGAGGGACCCTTGGGGAGGATTGTGACCTTGTACAGAGTGTTTGAGCTCTCCTTGTCAAAAAGCTGAACAAGCGCATGGCCAGCCTCGTGATAAGCAGTCATTTCCTTCTCCTTCTCGGTGACAACCATTGACTTGCGTTCGGAACCCATGGTGACTCGGTCGTATGCCCATTCCATATCTTGCTTCCGAACAACACTGGCCTTGGCTCGGCTGGCTCGGAGAGCGGCGACGTTCAACATGTTCTCAAGCTCGGCACCAGATTGGCCGGGGCATCGAGCAGCAATAGCTTCGAGGTCAACATCAGGGCCAACCTTGATCTTTTTGGCGTGGTGCTTAAGAATGGCAATACGACCGCGAACATCGGGCAGTTCAACATTAACATGGCGGTCGAATCGTCCAGGTCGGGTAAGGGCCTTGTCGAGCATTTTGGGCAAGTTGGTGGCTCCAATGATGATAATCTTGCTGTCCTGATCGAAGCCGTCCAGTTCGGTAAGCAGCTGGTTCAATGTCTGTTTGGCATGTGCTTGGTCTCGTGGGTTTCGCTTGCCTCCAATGGCATCAAGTTCGTCGATGAAAACAATGGCAGGGGACTTGCTCTTAGCGGCGGTGAAGAGCTCACGGACTCGCTTGGCACCAACGCCAACAAAGATCTCGTCAAACTCGCTACCAGACATATAGAAGAAGGGAACACCGGCTTCACCGGCAACGGCTCGAGCAAGAAGCGTCTTACCAGTACCGGGAGGACCAACCAGGAGGACACCCTTGGGCAGTTTAGCACCAAGATCACTGAACTTTTCGGGATTCTTAAGAAACTCGACGACTTCCTGGAGTTCCTCTTTGGCTTCGTCACAGCCGTGAACATCGCTGAACCGAGTATTCTGCTTCTCAGCCTTGACCTCAGAATCTGCCTTGCTGCTGGGTCCACCGCGACGGAAAGTACTGAACGCCTCGATAGCAATAGTAACAAGTGCGAAGCAGAGATAGGTGGTCACAATGAAAATTGCCAAGAACTTGAACCAGCGGAAGATAGTAGATCGAGTTGACTCCTGAACGATAACGTGGATGGGCTCACCCTTGTGGCCAATGGGGTTGCCAGCATTGGCGGATCCAGCCACAGCAGCGTTGGCAATGCCTTGCTCATAAGTTGGCCATTGAGTTCGAGCAAAGTTTCCGTTCACAGCACCTTGCGCATTCGCAGCTTGGTTAGCGTTAACACCAAGCATTGCGAGGGCTCGCTGGTAAGCATCGTTGGTTGCAGCGTTGGAGGCAAAGCGTCCAGATTGATATCGTTCCACAAGAATAGCAGGCATGTTGGCGCGGAGAAGGAGTTGGTAAAAAGCATTCTGCGCATTCGCATTACCGGGATTTCGGTTGGCGGATTCCTCCAGTGTTGCCAGCTGGTTACGGGAGATGCCATTGGAGCTACCGAATGCTCTGCGCTGAACAGAAAATGCACCGAGAGTTGAGATACCACGAGGAGATGAGAGGATACCAGAAGAAGATCGCGAAAACGAGCGCAGGAAAGATGACTGGGTCGATACGCGGGGCTGAAATTGAGGATGTCGCAAAACGGGGTTGGCCGCTCGGAGGCCAACGCGGCCCATAGTGGAAAGAGTTGTCTGAGCAGTCATCGGTGTCATGGGAGAAAATCGCGAACGAGAGAGGGAACCAAAGTCAACTTGTTGAAGGAATTCGGGGATTCGGAGTTCGGTCACCTGTAACACAGATTAGTTTGATGGTTGAAAATGTCAAATAGTTGCGACATACTCGTTGAGCTTCCGCCACCTTTGTCTGTTCCAAGCCGTTCTTCGAAGGAACCGATCGACTGGGCGTGACTGAACTCATATGCCTCCAGGGAGCCATGGCGATATTCGTAATCGAAGGCCATAACTCCGTAGTTGTCGCTGCCATGTTCTGGAGCCTCGTTAGTTACTGTCGGCGATAGCTCTCCCCTAAACTCCGCAACAACATACCGGCAACATCATGGCATTAAAAGCCATGCTGGGGGATTATATGCACCAGAAGTGCTTTCGGGATGATGATTTTCGTACTGATGCTCAGAGAAGGGCTGATAGCAAAAGTGTTTCGATGACGTGCAAGTAGGCAGATGGTCTGCGCCTCCACCACGTCTAACGGTTTCTCGGGAGGGAACCGTTTGTCGTGCGTCGAGATTGCTTCGTGATAAGTCTACTCAGAGAGACGAATGTATTGTCTACCGGGATGCACTCATAGTGAATCGCGCGCAGCCATCATCAGTATGTAATCGATGGGGAGTTCGGTTCGCTTGCCACTCTGGTCCGCTATTCGGCATCACACGATGGGCCCTTTCCTATTTGAGAGGATGCTGAGTCATCTTCACTCGGCCATCAGATCTTCCGTCTCCCGATCACGGTCAAGTTACAAGCTCTTATCATTGGTTGTGAATAGGTGCCGTCTAAATAAGTGGGAGTTGTGATGCTGGAACTGTGACTTTCCAAAACAGTTTGTGAAGAGGACTTTGGTTGTTGCGACCATTAAAAGTCTAATGTCGGTGTTGGGGGATAGATCTGGCAGGCTAGGGTACCTAAGTAAGACATTTTGAGACCTCAATTCTAGGTGACAAAAATACTATATGAGGTTTAGAACCGACCTGGATGAAGCTTTGACTAAGGTACCTTATGGTAGGCACCCAGTTAATCTAGATACCTTATCAAAGATCTCAAGTCCATCTTTCTCACCAAGGATAGGGCAGTTTCTAGGTTTCTTAGATCTGATGGATGAATATCTATGTGGGTATATTAGATGTAAATAAGGAGTTTCGTTTGCTTCTCCATTTCTGTCATGCGTGGGTATACTCATTTTCTCCCATGTCCCCTATCGCCTCCTAAATGTCCCAGTACAAACCCTCTCGTCCTCTTCAATGTTCATAAAACCCTGTTTTGCCTTCTTAAAATGCCATCCCCAATGATCTTTCCCCCTGCTAATTATCTGCCTAATCCAACGACACATTTCTCTCATAGGGTATAGGTGCTGTTTGATGCTGAAAAAAAGAAAGTGAATGCCAACAAGAGTAGTAAAAAGGCTCAAAAGCATAGTGCCATTAAAAGAATCCAAGCTATCAAGGCTAGATGATATAGAGTGCTGTAAGCAACCATCCAATATCATGTATACTAAGCTGGAACGATGGCTGCAAAAGGCAAATTGCTCCCCGAATTCCAGTTAAGGCAAGAAGCAAGACGAAACGCCCAATGACATGCTTTTCAAATCGCGAATGACATCTTTCATGCGTTCTAGAGAAATGCTCGTAGATGCTGTAGAACAGCATGTTTCCTCCAATAACGTCCCGATGGGTATATCCTCTTCAAGAATAATAATTAAGTTCATGAAACGGAGATCGTTGTGTGGTCCAGCCTTGGTATGATCGTGATGGTACAAGTGATTATCGTAAACGGAAAGGGTAATATCTTGACATGTTGAGTATGGCGTTCGTAAAACATAGCGTGATTCAAGCACTCATTCATCACATGCTCGCCAGTCTGCTGCTGGGTAGTTGCAATGAATGATCTTCAAACTCAATCTTTGGCCCATAAATATCATAAACTGCAGTTCCGTATGCAGGTAGCTGTCCGATGGTTGGAACTTCGATCGGCGGGTCGTAGTGTGGCCACTGCTCTTGCTGTGGGTGGGCCGACGGTGGAGCGTAGTGTCCGGCCGTCGAGGGAATATGCCGCGCTTGGGATACCACTGGCTGCTGAGGCTGAGCCATATGATGTTGAATAGATTGCTGGTATTGGATCATTGCTGGCTGAGATTCGGCTGTTGTGTATGCTGGCTGGCTTCCAGGCTGGTGTGCGTAAAAGCCCTCAGGAATCATAGGGCTGGGGACTGAAGTAGCAGAAAAGGTGCTTGGGCTGCTTTGAATAGACGTCGCAATACCGGGTGCTGAATATGGAAGTTCCATGGGAGGTCGTTCCACTTGCTGTGATAGCTGGTAATGAGGCGGTACACTGCTTGTCATGGTAGCAACACCTGGGTTTCCTGCCTCAGTGACATAGTAAGCCTGGCGTGGCATGGTTGCTGCTCGATGGACTAGCTGAACGTGTGTGTGTTGTTCAGGCACGGGAGTACCATGGTACTCGTGAGGGACACTGGCGGGAATCCCTTGCCGGTTGCCGTAATGTTGGGGCATGTGGTGACCATGGACTTGGGATTCAAAATCAGCGTAAGAGGAGGCACGATGCAAAGGCCCGCTTGGGGCACCTTGGTTCATGGGAACCATCTCATGAGGTGACCAAGTCATCGAGGAGTGCTGAGGGGTGGAGGGAGACTCGTCATCGTCAGAGTCCGAAGAGCAGTCGTCGATGTCGTTGGGGTTCATCCCTTGCTGGTGTGACCTCCGTTGGTGCTTGACCATGGTCGTTTTGCGGCAAAAGCTGAGGTCCGAGTTAGTACGTAATGGGTTCAATGGATCTGTGGCGACCTACCTCTTGGAACACCCATCGTGAGCGCATTTATACGGGCGCTTTCCAGTGTGGATTCGTCGATGCCGAGCCAGACTTGATGACTGTGTCATCTGTTAGTCCCATTCGAGCCATGGGATTGGTCTACACTTACATCCGAGAAACGTTTACCACAACCGATGTGCTGGCATTGATGAGGCTTCTCTCCTGTGTGTGTCCGAATATGAACAGTCAGAGCGCTCCGTTGGATGAAACTCTTCCCGCAGCCAGGAATAGAGCAAGCGTATGGTCTTTCATTAGTATGTATACGGTAATGCCTCTGTAGATCGGACTTTCGATTAAAGCTCTGCAACAGAAGTTAGTAAAGTCCCATGGCCACAGATCATTTTGGCAACAAACCTTTGTGCACGATTGCCAGTCGCACTGAAAGGGACGAGCAGTGGGCTCGTTCTCAACCAATTCCATAAGTTCCATGATAAGTTTTTAAAACTTGGTTGTGCCTCGAGGCGATGCGTGTGTATTGATGCAGAGATAAGACGAAAATAGTTGTTGGCAAGATGTTAACTTGTCACAGCATAATAATTTCAAACGCTCGGTGGGGAAGAGTTGATCTGATGCAAAAGATGTTGTCTAAATTTGTTGAAGGAACGACAAGTCGACGTTAGCCAAGGCCTTGGATTAGGGTATAAGAGGCGGCGATGAGATCCAATTGTAAATAAATCAGCGATTATAAGATGACGTATAAGTTCTGATCTGACAATCAAGGAGTGTCTATGTTGTTGAAGAGGTGAAGAAGTTGTGCGATTGTCTGTATATAAGAAGGTGACGGTGTAGAGTGGCTGAAGGTGGGATATAAAAAGATGGGTGAAGCTGAGAATCCAGAAGCCAGGTTGTGTGGGAGCTGAGTGCTTAAACGTCGTCTTAGCAGGGCGTGCCGTGTTAATGCAGGCGGTCCAAGTATTGCCTAGTGGATCGGGAAGAGATTTGGCTGGGGCTGGGGGAGAGCTTTACGATGTGGTGGTGGTTTTTGAGGGAAAATACCAGAAACCAAGTAGACGGGCCAGGGGAATATTGAAGCTTATAGTTGATTGGACTCGGAGCGAGCAAGAGTCGATAATATGACTGGCCTCCGAGGTCCGCCTGAGAGAGTTGAGTCGTGAAAACAGGCTACTTGACGTCTAGTTGATGTGATTCGAGTCAGGTAGACAGTCGATAGAGCTCCATTCAAGCCAGGCAATACTGGGGGTTCGGCGACAGATATCAACAACGGTCGTCACTAGGTTCTGGGCCTATGTCCGGTCCCGCTGGGTAAGGGCAGTGGAGATCAGGAGTGCTTGGGAGACGAAGAGAATAGTGTGATGTAGTGCAGTGTAGTGTAAAATAGCCAGGGCCATGCAGATGCTAAATACCAGACTGAATACCCAAACTCAAAAGATGGGCCGTCGCAAATCTGACTCCAGTTGTAGGCGTGCAGCGTGCATGGTATACATACGCCAGGGCTATCAAGGAACCACGCAGGAGATCAGAAAAGTCAAGGGATCCCTGCACTGCAACAGCGGGCTTCAGTGGGTCTCATCCGGCAACGAGAGAACTGGGGGGCACAGATGAGGGATCGAGAGAGGACGGCAGGTGGAGGGTGGATGAGCATGACGAAAGGAAACGGAGGAGGCTGATAAAAAGAGGGAGATGAAGAGACGTATTCAGGGTCAGGGGTCAGGTAAGGCAAGGCAAGAGGCCCAGATAGGGAAGAGGGCTGGCACTAACACCAGAACTGAGACGAGGTATACCTTTCCCAACATTGAGTACAGTAGCATCCATCCGTCGATACGTCTCTGGGCTACCTTGGGTTGTGTCGATGGCGGCGTACAGTAGTTTCCATTGTGGGCTTAGAAGTGCAAATAGCGCCTCTGTACCGTCCTCTAGACATAGTCTCGTCTCTTGTACCGTATAAAAATGGTATTGCATGGTGTAGTCTATGAATGTACCAACTCGAATAATGATCCGAGGTGGTGTAGTGCCGGCCGCCATCTAGTCTCTTAGTGCGCTTGAGTGTTACAAACGCTCTGATCTCATTACTGCACCTCGCTGCACTTCGCCTTGGCTTTGGCAACTTGCCGTTCGGTGTAATTTTGTAGGGGCTATTTCATCGTTCTGCCCCATGTTACAAGACTTTTCCCATGGAGTCATTGGATGTTTTTGATTTGTCTTTATTCCTAAAGCATTAACCAGGCCAGCCAGTCCAGGTTAGGGCACATTGGAGGGGAGGGACATTTTGGTACACAGGACGTTGAACCAGTCTACGGCGGCGGATGGGGACGGGGACAGGGGGGGCAGAAGCCGACAAGTCTAAACCAGTTGATGGCGTCGAATTTGGGGCGTCAAGGCAAGGGATGGCAGATCCCTCTAAATGCACCGCTGTCTATTGCTCTGCGGAGGTGGAAGTGGGAGCGGTCACTGGCTGGAAGGCTGAATAACGACTGATTGACTGGCTACACATACAGTACAGTATGCATGAATCAACGCTAGTAGAATTGTTCGTCGGGAATGGGATCAGGATTTAGTGAAAACGGACGACGCATATCCAGGTTGACGGTTATTGAGCCAGCTGCTTGGAATCTGTGGCGGAGAAAGAGGGGACCGGACCGCCTCCAAGGACGGGCGGACAACCAGATACTTGGTTACAGATCGAAAAGAGGGAACCCAAAGTTGATGCCTCCGTCTTCAGCACCACAGACTCCGGTTAGAGCCGAAGGGTGCTTAACCTGTAACATTGGCTCGTCCTGCTATTGCGTTTGAGGTCCGAGATGAGGCATTGGCCAGAGGAAGAGTGCGGGCGTGTTGTAGAGGGACAGTGGTAGAGAGAAAAAGAGAGGGTCATCGTGGGCACATGAGATGAGATCCAGAGTGGAGACCACCGAGGTCCATTATTTGCTGAGACTGAGACGGCCCAGGCTCTTGGCTTGGCTTGGGAAAGCGCCGCGGCCGGGGTCGGGCAGGCTCAGGCTCAGCCCGCAGGGCCCCTCCCTCCCTACTCTTTAGTGGGTATTTCCACGATAAATGAAGCTAGATCAAAGTGCGATAGTGGATCCTTGCGGTTTTCTTTTCTAGAGACAAGACAGGACGGACGGGATGGACCAGCCTGACAAGTTCACCGGAGCATTGGAGATTGAGTAGAAAATGAACAGTGGATAACAGGTAGTGGATCCATCCACTGTAAAGGTCGATCACAGACGGGTTCTTGGCTGGATTTCATAACTTTGAAATGCTTGTCTAGCGTCTAACGTTACTCTCTGCTTCTGCTTCTGCTCTGGTTCTAACCTCTGCCACTGAAGACAGAACTGGGTAATCGAGTAAGCCACTTACTTGATGGTATAGAACCTAGCAGCCTACATTCATCACACGCCAAGTCATTATATGTAACTTCAAGCCTCACTTGGTGCCTTATCGCAACCAAAGACCTTGAAAGTCGGTACATCCATGTCCATCAGTATGAGGACAGGGGCTCTTATGCAGGCAGTTGCAATGATCAGCCACTGCTAAGAAGCAAGCAGGGGTCTGCTTGACCAGACATTCCCCCGCCAAAGACATTTGCCAGTAACTCTCACTCTCCAGAGTCGATGTAAATCAATTACATCAGAAAAGAGAGGATCGTCGGAGAGCAGGTGATCATCACTATCTCTTATATCCAGTCAGTATTCCCATGCACCATGACTCGACAAATCCTTCTGACAGGTGTCGTCGGCGATTAAATAAACTTGCCTCTGACGGCACTTGGGACGTTGGACGAACCAAACGGCGGGGAACCAGTAATGTTGGCAATATGCGAACACCAGCACCAGCACTTCACCAACGTGGGCCTAAGGGTTCGTGCCGGTCCTGGGCGCTCGTGTCACACCTCGTTTCGTTCACCAACATCCAATTCTGGCCTAACGATGTCCGAGCAGATGCCCGAACAGGTAACGGCGTTCAGACCCGGAGATACAGATTAACCTTTTTACAAGTGCTTAGAGGCTCATGATACGGAGTGAAGCAATTTCCATCTGCAAAAGGCCGCAGAACAAGCCATTAACATGAGCATTCCAAGGGTGGACAACATTACATTGATTTGAGGAGGAACCATGACGTGCAAAAGACGTGTCTTCTACCCTGAAATGGACAAAACAGCCAGGCCATAAAACCTATCAAGATCTCTGCTCCACCACCCACAGTAAAAACCCTTGTCGATCCCGGCTGATTGTTCACGCCGTTCCTGACTTGGCTTTTTACACGCAGCGCTACACAAGCAGTGACCTGCCCAACCTTTGTTCATCCTTGTCTCTAAGCCAAAGTCCATAAATCAATCGAGCCTTGCCCACACTCCTGGCTCTGGCTTGAAAGCCACAGAACGGCAGGGGCCTCAACTGGGCTCCCACTATCAAGGTGATCTCCTGTTGCAATACTGCATCCTGCATGCCGGTTACCGCACCCTTGAACACCTCCTCAACGCGGACCAAACCCTACAGCCTCTGTTTATTTCCTGAATTTTACTACCAATGCACAACTCACACACCAACTTTTCTACTACTGAAGCGCGATCTCATCTCATGTCATCTCATCTCCAATCCTCTCGCCCCTTGAAATATTAAAATTGTTTAAGTTTTGTCTTTAGGACCTGGTGGTGTAATGAGATTAAGTGTTTGCGGTTGATAGGTCAGAGTGGGCTACGTTGATGCTGATTTGCCGAATTACTTACTCTGAGACCCCAACGTTTCCAACGCCTCCTCCACATCGCTCAGCCTACAACTGGAGAATGAGATTAATCCCAAGCGTTGATCCCTTTGGACTAAGATTTGACAGAAGTCACCCAGCCCAGCCTATCTCAATTGACACGCAGCAGGGTCTGTGCAACTGACCTGTCTCATCTTCATCCTCAGGGCTGAAGCTGGGTGTTGAGGTGAAGGCATCAATGCAACCCTGCTCTCCTTAGACAAGACCAAGTGATCAACAGCCTCTCAGAACACAACACCATCTCCCCGGAGTATTTGTGTTGAATATGGCTGCTAGCTTTGGGTGTTGATCAGCTGGCGATGCATGCACAGCCCTCTCACCTCCCCTGACGCCAAGTCAGCGGTCTAGGTGTGATAGCTCTACACAAAACCACATTGCAGCGAACCTCAACAGTATAGGCCAGATTATTGAGCATCCCCTGTTTAAGACCATCGAATATTTGGGGTATGGTGTGCCCGCTTTGGGCCAGAAGCATGAACGGTTGATGGAAAAATGACGACTTTGATAACTGAGCGCCACTCCAATAGACGTTAGCTATCCCCGGAGTAGCAGAATCACGAGTCTGAAACAGAAGGCATTGTGTGATTGCTTAACAAAAGCCAGGCATGAGAAGGAGAACAGTAAATAGTGGTAGTGATTTCTTCGGTTCCTCCGTGTAAGCATCCATATCCAGGGTATGCTTGCGATCTCGCAAGCTATGTTTGTTTCTTCCTATGTCTATTCCCCCCAGCAATGGCAGATAATAGCAGGAGTTACTATAGTCCACAATCATAGATAAATACCAGTGCCAGGCTAACAACGTGTTTTTGAGGCTACCTCTACACCTTAGGAGATAAGTAGTGATAGACGCCCTTCAATCCTGGATTAGAGTTTGGAATTGGGGGAAGAGGCTGGCTACGGTTGCATTTATTGACCCCACATGCTTGGCTCATCACCAGTCGGCTTGGTTTGCGGAACGAGAGTTCTTCAGAACCAACACAAGTTCATTCTCCAACCCTTCCAGGGTCAACCCAGAAGACGCAATGCGCTGATCATCTGGACTAGACCGTGAGGCTCGCAGTGTCGTACCCGGGGACCCTGCTCCTGCTCCGCTTTGCACAACTTGTTCATCGGCCGAGTTTGTTTCCGAAAGCAACTTGTGCAAAACGTGCATTGAAACAATTCAG